ACCCCCACCCCAGAGAGGGCTGGTCTGGAACTCGGAGCTTCTGTCAACAACATTACTGGTTAGATTTGACCCAGGTTCGTTTTGTTTTTGTTTTCACTGTAGTTGTTTTGGTGAGTTACATTTTAATTGTCACAAGAGTTTTTGATTTTGTGGACATTGGTGGCAGGAGTTTGAAGCAGTCCCAGTACTGAGAAGAAACCTTTGGAACTTTGATGAAGGGATTCAAGCGGCAATGGGGCTCGATCACAAAGGGTGGTCGAGGAATTCATGGGTGACAGAAATGTTCTGTATTTTAACTGTAGCAGGGCTGTGTGCATTTGTCACAACACATCATGCAGTAACATCTGTAATGGGTAAGTTTCATTGTCTCTAAACTGTACCTTAAAGTCTGTTTTAACATGTATGCGTCTATTTCCGATGGTTGAAGATACTAAGTAAGTCATGGTACAGATGCTGTGTGGGTGACCAAAGTGCTCAAGCTGACCACCAACCACACAGTAAAGGTTAAAGTCAGGAGTAAACGGACAGAAAGGAGACAGAATGAATGCATGAGCGAATGAGCAACAGAATGACTATCTACACACCTGTGGTATGAATGCATTCATTCAACGTGGCCCAGCATTTTGGAGGTCCTGACCAGAGGTTATTCTGTCTCGCTCTGCCTGCTCCTAAGACCGGCAACTCACTACGTTATGACATAGTCCTTTCCACATCTAAATACTAAGTGTATGGGAAAGACCTTCATTATATCTTTCTGGAGATCCCCTGGCTTTGGGGCCCACAGATACATCTCTCCTTGGGGCAGCCCAAGTGTCCCTAGCATAGTCTGCTTTCTTCTGGACCCTTCATCCAAGTCTTAGCTGTCCTGCCCACCAGGTCTGGCTTGTAGAGTGTATATGCCGGTGGAGTGGCAGGACAGAGTACAGTGTAAGGTAAACAAAAGGATACCATACTAATTTGAAGGGGGAAAAAGCAGGTGAGATGATTGGGGAGGCCACTAGAGAGGTGGAAAGGCAAGGCAAAGCCTCTCAAGAGAAGTGATATTTGAACAGAGACTGGAAGGATGCAAAGGAGCCAGGAGAACCAGGGAATGGGTTCTGATCAGAAGAAGAGCAAGTGCAAAGGCCCTGAGGTCAGAAAGCAAGTGGGACCCAGAGGTAGCCAGGCTGGCTGGAGTGAAATGAGCTAGGAAAGAGCTGTTATTTTGTTATTTTGGATGTTGATGGTGAGGCGCCTGGAATTGTTTTCTCAACTTGATTCTCAAGTACTTTTAAGCAGCAGGTGTTAGGATATGACGTAAATTTTAGTCTATTCTTGATACATATTTGCTGAATTAAAACAGAAGACCCTTCTAGCTCCCATAGTTTGGGGATCCCAAAATGATGCTGATATACCTTCCAGAGACAGAATGTAGTGTGGTCACGAGCAGACTCCAGAGAGGGCCTGCCCAGGCTGATTCCTGGCTCTGCCTCCTCCCTGCCGTGGTGGGTAAGGGGCTTCAGCTCTGAGCCTCACCTGCTGGAGGTAATAACTGCAGCCTCCTCCCCTCTGCAGGCCTCAGTGTGCCTCTGGGCATGGCGTTCCTCTCTGCCTCCCCGTCCCCCGACCTCTTCCTCAGAAGGAGGCCTCAGAGACAGGCCCACACCAGTCACAGGCCTGCTCCTGGCCCCTGCGTCCTCATCTGGGAAGGAGCAAGGCACTTGGTGGGTTTTTGTGCTTATCTTTGTTTTACAAACAAGGAAACTGAGGCGGAGAGCGTGAATCTGCCCCCAGGACATCTGGAGCCCTGGTCCCTCCTCCATTCCAAGTTTGCCACAAGGATCGTTACAAGGCCGTTAATGAAACGCGGAGCCGCGTTCTGCTCATCATAGTTGTCCATTAAACGCTGGCTATTGTTGTGAGCCCGGAGGTCTTACACTTCCTAAGTGGCACAAATTCAAAGCCAGGTCTGTCCACCTGGAGCCTGGTCTGCAGCCACAGAGGACCCCTGCTGCGGTGGTGCGGGCAGTGCTAGTGACCGGCGCTGCCCACCGGGCGGCGGCAGGGCGGGACGAGGCGAGGCCACCCGCTGCAGCCCACAGCTCGCGGCCCGGGACAGGTAGGCTGGCCGGGCGGGCGGGCGGGCGGGCGGCCTGGAAGACATTACACGGCTGTCGGCTGGGCGTCGCGGCGGGTTCCGGAGGGGGTCCCGGCGGCGGGCGCCCGCCCGGAGGGGACGGCCTACCACAAAGCGCGCTTTGTTCTGCGCGGCCCCGGAGCTGGAACCAATGGATTGGCGGCAGCCAGGGTCATCTGTCAGGCAGGCGGGTCAGGCTGGGAAAGGGGCCGCGGGCAGGAGCCGGCGGGGGCGCCGCGGGGGTGCCGCGCAGCTTCCGGCCTCAGTTTACCCGGCGGTCCAAAGGGGAGGATCATGTATGTCGCCTCCTCCTCTCAGAACTGCTGTGAGGCTTCAGCGTGCAAGCCAGGCTGCGGCCGCTTACCGTGCGGTCCTGAGGGGCCCGGGGCTGGGTGGCACTGGACGCCGCTGCACTTTGAGCACGCGCTGGGCACCGGGGCCAGCAGGGTCTCTCAGCACCCTGCATCTCTGCGCAGTCACCCCTCCCCCCCTTTGCTGTGATCTAGATGCCAGGTGTGGCCCCACCCTCGGGCACTGGCAGAAGGAGCTGCCCAACCCCACCACAGGGTCCCCCTTGGTCCCCTCTGGCCCCCAACAGGCAGGGCTGGGCCACCCAGAGCTGCTTTAATGACTGCACGCAGGTCAGGGTTCTACTCTACTCCTTACAAAATCCGAGCCCATTCATTCATTCACAGGCCCCAACTGCATGCGCCTCCGTGTGGCCTCCCGGGACAATTAGGCTTCTGAGCATTTGATCCAGGGGCCCCGGAGGAGGCCGGTAAGTACAAGGAGCCTGGGAGATCGCCCAAAATAAGTGTTTCTGGGGGAGAGCTCATGGCTTTCTTCGGTTCTCAACCAGTTTCACGACTGAAGAAAGGCTCAGGAGCACTGCGGAGTGCTGACCCCTTCACTGTGGGTCAGCACTGTGAGCTGGCCCTGGAGAGCAACCCGGCAGTCCGAGAAGTGGGGTGGCCGCCCCACTCTGCGAGTGGGCGGGAGAGCAGAGCAGGGCCACAGCAAGGCTCAGGGCCCCTCACAGAGCTGGCTGGGAAAAGGCTGGAGTCGTGCAGTGGACACCACGGCAAGGAAAAAGAAGGCTTGGTGACAGCAAATTTATTCATGCAACAGCTATTTATGCAGTTGGTACTATGTATCAGGAAGTGAAAAGCAAGACAGGTCTTGTCCTGCCCATGACTTACATCCTAGTAGGTGCGGCAGCCGCAGACACAGACAATAATTTCAGAGTGAAAAATGCTAAGAAGAAAACGGGAAAGGGGACTGGCAGTGAGGGTAAGCCTGCTAAAGAAGTTCCTCTGACCAGCGATCAGAATTTGGGGATTTGTGCTGAGGAAGGCAGAAGAAAAATGTGCCAAGTAACACAAAAAGAGAAGCATTTTGCCAGGTGTAGTGGTACACATCTGAATTTCTAGCACTCTTGGAGGCTGAGGCTAGAAAATCCCAACTTTGAGTGTAGCCTAGGCAACTTGGTGATGTGAGACACTGTGTCAAAAAAAGAAAAAAAAAAAAAAAATAAAGGCTGGAGATATAGCTCAGTGTGTAGGCCCCAGATGCATTCCCCAAACAAAAACAAAAGAAAAAGTGTATTTCACCCCCCCTCCCCCAAGATTGAGGTGTGGAAGGGCATATGCCAAATTCATGAAGGTAACTGCCCCAAAGGACAAAGGGATAATGAGGACCCGGACCATGGTGGACTTTAGCTTGCCTTTAGCGTTTTTTTTTTTTTTAATTTAACATTTTAATATCTTAATATACTCATGTGTAGTTTGAACATAAAACATTTAAATCTCCCATGGCAAAGGGGGTTCACAGAGCAGCAAGTGGCTCCAGGGACCCACACACTGTCCTTCTCTGAATTCACATTCTGGAGCAGAGGTCTGTTCGGGTGGGGACATATGGGAGACCCACAGGGCACGCGGTCCAGCCAGGTGGGACCTAGGAGCTGTTTGGGGTAGGTGCCTTCTTTGCAGACACCCCTCCCCCCACCAGGTAGGCAGGAAATGGGGGCTGGAGACGCCATGATGTTTGCAAGTCCACAGAACAAGAGCACATGGGACAAGTGGCACCAGACACTCCAGACTGCCAGCTGGGTCTCCTCTTCAGGCGTGCCTCAGGCTTCAGGTGTTCTCCTGCTTCTGTGGGCACTGGGCGGTCCTCACCCCACCAGCCTGGCCTTATCTATCCAGCCCATTCTTAAAGCTGTCTCTGCAGAAGGGGTTGAAGGTGGAGGTGGCGCTCAGCCTTGCTATGGGTAGGAAAGCAGCGCCACCTACTGATGGAAAAGGGAAACGCAGCTCAGCCTTCAGTGGGTAAAACCCTTTGAAGACCAGCTCCTCTTCTCTCCTGATACGTCACCACTCTGTCTGGGAACGCCTCCCAGTGCTTGACTTTTGGGTTTTATCTGAAAGAAGGAAAAGCCTTTACCTCCCGAGCAACCAGACTCTTGGCCCAGACCAGTGGGCGCGGGTGCAGAGAGTTCAACAGTAGCTCCTTGCACCAGTGTTTACAAAGCGGCCCTCTTCTATTGTCCCTGACCCGCGCTACAAACTTTCAGGTATACAGTCCGGTTGCACCTTGAGTTCGTTCTCCAGGGAAGGGAGCAAGGTCCCAGAACACAGACCTCTCATACCGGCCCCAGGAGGATGGGGGTAAGGGGAGGAATCACCATGGTGTCACATTTGAAAATAACTGAGACAGAATAAACAAGCAGTTCCGGGTTGTGGTCCCCGAACAGCTCCCTTGGTATAACCCACGACCTTTTCAGAAACAAACATTCCCAGGCCTGGCCCAGCCCTGCTGAGTGAGGTCTGAGGGCGGAGCCCAGACAGAGAACCTGAACCACTGGTCTAAAGCAGCTGCATTCATCTTTAAAAAAAATTAAATAAGCCTTTATTTTGGAATGACTTTAGATTCACAGAAAATTTGCAGATAGTACAAAGAGGTCCCCCATCCACTTTCCACCTGGCTCCCCCCCCAACAGCAAGTCACCTCCTTACATTACCATAAACCACGGATCAAAACCCACAGACCAATACTGGTATTCAATCATTAACTAAAATCCAGACCAGTTGTCTTAGTGTGTTTTTTCCTCCAAGATCCAATGCAAGGTATTGCTTTGCATTTAAAACACTGCATTCTATCACTTTTCAATCCTGTTCCCAGTGGGTGGAAAAGCCATTGTCCTTGCTTTTAAGCTGGGCAAACTGAGGCTTGAAAATGCTGAGTGACTGAGTTCCCAGGGGCAGTGACGCTAAGGCCTACCTCCCTCTGCCCCACTTCCTCAAGACTCTAGTTTCCAGAAGCTGTTCTGGAGTGTCCCCCCGCCACACTAGGGTGGACAACAGTGCCCCTACTGCATCCACCCCTCGATCTCAGTGTCTTAGACTGGGTGGGGCAGGGGGTGTGCGACACTGTGATTTACCCACACAGAAGAACTCATGAAGGACAACCAGTAAGTCTGGGTGTCAACTGCCCCAAGTTCTCTGTAGCTCCTCCTGTCTAGAGGTGTAATATGTTTAATCCCTTGAATCTGGGCAAATCTTACAACTTCCCCTGACCAAAAGAATTCAGAAGTGACAATGTCCTGGTCCTTAGGCTACAGTTCTTATTACTTCTACTATGGGAACCTCAAGGCCACCATGTAAATAAGCCTAAACTAGCTTAGTAGAGGCACCACCTGGAAGAGAACCATGCCACCCAGCCAACAGCCTGTCACCAGCCAGACAAGCACATGAAGCTATCCTAATCCATCTAGCCTTAGCCAAGGTGACAAATGTCTGCGGCCTCATGCTGACCTTAGGCAAGGCCAGCAGAAGTACAGCCCAGCCCAAATTTCCAACCCAGAAATTGTGGGTAGGACAGTAACCTCTAGGGGCTATGTTCAGGGGTGGTTTGTTACACAGCAAAGCTGATACACAGTTCCTCTTTTTTCCTGTAAGAAAAGTTTATTTCAAGAGGCAGAGTGCCAGTCCCAGGAGATGGAACATGACTGGTGTGCTCAGCCATGGCAATGCTGTTCCCTGTTGTGTTAGCTTTCTTCAAAGCTAGGACAATAGTATTTGGCTCAGGCCAAGGAGACCTAAATGGAAATATACAGGGGACCGAGGACAGATTATACTTTCTGATGGAAGTTGCCAGGTCCAGTGGGCTTGGCCCTTCCTCTTCCCTTCCTCCTTTCTTTCTTGAACACATACATGATTCCTGGAGACACTGCAGCCATCTTATGACCATAAAGTAACATCAATGAGGGCAAAAGGATTTTAGAGTTCTAAACCCTATCTTTGTTGAGTTACCGAAGCAATAGCATTTTGGCTATTTGCCTCCAGAATTTGCTCAAGTCCTTGTCACCTAGGCCTGTCTTTATCTGCAGCTGGGCAGTCCACTTAATAGGATGGAATAAGACACTACAGAAGGTCCTTGTCCTTGGGAATCTCCAGATCCACCACCTCGTTCAGGGCCGAGGGCCGAGGTGGGAACAGGGGTTCCCATACTACTTAGGTGAGTCCCAGGCCTGGCGGCCAGTAAAGATGGTGCCGACTCTCACGTGCAAAGAGGGCGCCCTTGCTGGCCCTTCTGTGTGGCCCACCCGCTGGGGACCAGGTGTCTTCCTGGATGTGGCAGTGGCAGGTGCCAGGGAAGCTGCTACTGCAAATCCGGTGTGGACGCGCCCAGGTACACTCGGAGGTCTGAGAGGGTGGACTGCACCAGCTTGGCGGGGATGGTCTCTCGCTGCAGTTGCTGGTAGGCCGCATAGCGGTGGCAGCCCCCGAAGGAGTAGTAGTAGTTGCCACCCTGGGCCCCTTTGATCCAGAGGACGTCGATGGGCGGCACGCTGTCTGGGTCCTCCTGGAGAGAGAGGGGGATGCCAGTGAGTGACAGGGAGATTCAAACAGCACAAACAGGATGCTGTTAAATGTCCAGGACTACTGCAGGCTGCCTGAATCTCAGGACAAGGGGCAGAGGCCAAAAACAAGGGTCTTCTCGCCCCAGAGATGGTCTGTGAAACACACATCTATACGCCCGACCCGGGCCCAGCCTCTGCCTTTATGGGCTGTGGCCCAAGAGGGTGGATGGGGTGAGAGTGAATGTCTGAGTGACAAGTGCTATGAAGACAGTAACCCAAGGGACATGGGCGAGGTCCAAAGGCTTCTTTGAGGTGACAAGGAAGCAGAGATCCTCTTAGAGAGCCAGAGATGTAGTACAAAATTAGAGCCTGGCTGCTTGGGTTCAAACCTGGTTTTGCTACTCACCAGCTATGTGCAGTTAACCTCTGTGCCTCAGTTACCCCATCTATTAAGTGGGGGTGAAAACAACAGACCCACATCATAGAGCCACTGGGATAAGTAACAGGACACTTGAACCAGCTTCCAGCAATGCTTGGTACAGGGAATGCATTCAGTAACACCTGCCTGTATTACCCAAGGGAAGAGCCCTCCAGGTTCAAGGAACAGCCAATGCAAAGGCTCTGAGGTGAGAACAGTCCACTGCACTGGAGGGACAAGAAGGCCAGTGAGACATCGGAGCTCAGAAGTGGTGGAGGAGGAGAGGACAGGAAGGTCAGCAGGTTTGTTTCTTGGAGCAGGCGAATGCCCTGGAGCATTCACAATGGCACAGTTCAGTGCCATTCTAGAAAGGTGAGAGCAGCTTACAGGGTGGACAAGGGCAGAGGCCAGGCCTCTGTGTGTCTGCAGGAGAAGATGCAGCCTGTATGCTGGTGTGGCTGGGACACAGAGGGGCACACAGGTTGGTACATATTTAGGAGGCAGATCAGAAGGCTCTGGTGAAAAGGGGACACAAGGGAAGACTCTTAGGTGACTTCCTGGTAGGACCCAGCAGCCAGGTGGAAGAAGGCCATCCTCTAAGTAGGGAAAGGCTAGGTACACTGGAGACCCTACTAAGTGTGCACGCCCAGGCCTCCTGCTGAGCCCTAGGGTCCTGGGGAAGCTGCTCTGATAGGTTCATTAAACGAGGATGTTGCACGGCTGGCTATTCAGTAATGAGGTCTAGCAGTCATGAGCCGGGGTTCAGGAACCTAACAAACCAGGGGAGGGGGAATCTCTGCAGCCAGCTCAGTTTTTCCAAACACAGACACTCATCCATTAAATGAGGATAGGGCAGGGGAAGGCCTTGTGTGGGTCAGTGTGAGTGGTGGGAGGGTGTGTGGTGGTGACGAGTTTCCATTCGTAGAGGCTGTGATTGCCACCTTACACAAAAGGAGTTCTGCAGATGGATCTTCAGGCAAGGAGATGGGTTGACTGTTATCACCAGGGCCCTTAAAAGCAGAACAGAGAGGTGGCAGAGGTGGGTCATGAGCTGAGATGGGCTCAAGCTGCTACTGTTGGTCTGAGGATGAGGAAGAGGCCATGAGCCTGGGAAGTGGTGCTGGACATTGGGAAAGGCTGGGACGCTGTCCCTCAGGACCTCCAGAAAACAGCGCAGCCCTACTGACCCCGCTTTAGTCCAGTAAGACCCACTTCATACTTTGTTCCACAGATTATAAAATAATACATTTGTGATGTCTGAAGCCAGGAAGTTTATTTTTCTTTCAGTTTTTTGAGACAAAGCTTTGCTATTTAGTTCAGGCTGCCCCTGAACTCACAGCAATCCTCCTGAGTGCTGGGATTTCAGGTGTATGGCACCAAGCCTGGCTTGAAGCCATGGAGTTTGTGGCCATTCAAATGACTCCAGGTGGTAAGTCAGCAAAGGCAGACCTGGTGGCCCTTGCCTCACAGTTCCAGCATGGGAGATAGGTGCCTACAAAAGTCATTGGAGCTGGGGATTTAGCTCAGCGGCATAAGCGCCTGCCTTGCAAGCAGGCAGTCGTGAGTTCGATCCCTGGTACCGATAAAAAAAAAGGAAAAAGAAAAGTCATTGGAACCCAGTGGGGTGACAGCTATGCTGTTCGGCACACAGGTGGCTTCGAGGATCTTGGAGGTCCCTTACCTGCTAGGGTGAGCAGGAAAGAGGCTGAGCTTGAAAAAGGAAGACTGACGGGGAGTTAGACACAACAGAGAGGCTGAACGGTCTCCTACTAGGGGTGGGAGGAGTGTATACAGAGGCCCAGCTGTGGAGAGACAACATGGGGCTAGACAGTCCCCCTACAAAGCAGCAGCATCTCCTGCTTATGTGGTGCAACTATAGACAGACACTAAAGTAGCAAAACACTCAAGTAAACATAGGACAGCTCTAAGTGTTATCCAGAAAGATACCTGCGCTACCCGGGGTCAGGGCCTGTGGCTATCTGGGGAAGTGGCCAGAGGAAATGGGGACAGAGCAAACTCTAGGGCTGAAAGACACATCAGCTGGCTGCACTGATGCTCCACAGGGCTTAGGAGTCTCACACACTCACCTTCCAAGGGTCTAGGAGGACACAGGAAGCATGTAGGCTTTCACTGACTCATTAGTCCCTGTGTCTCTCACACCCAGTTCCTGCCAGCGTCACTTGGACATTCTTGAGCACCCACCTTCTGTGATTGGGCAGACCCTCATCTACCATTTAAGGTTCAGAGAAGGCCCTCCCAGCAGACACGACACACTTAGGTCCACTGCCCCTGACTGTTATGGCCAGAGTGGAGCACACAGCTTATCTTTGGATAAGTGGTGGCCACGCTGCTCTGACCTTGAGCAATTTGCCTTAAATCTTCCTGTGCCTTGGCTTGTCAGTTAAGAGGGGCAGCGTCTGCCTCATAGTGCCGCAGGAGGAGCTAAGGGACCTAAACAGCTACCAGGCCACTGCAGTTTAGTAATCCTTACTTTAGTTTTTAAATCCGAGTCCCTGTTTCTCGAGAGCTCCTGGCCCAGAGAGGCCACACGCTTGCTCAAGGTCACACAGCCGAGATCGCCTCCCGCGGAACCCGTAGCCGTCGCGTCGAGAGTCCTGCGTGCCTCCCTCCCCTCCCTCCGACCGGCGGCCTCCCCAGGCCTTACCCGGATAGTGTCCACCAGGCTCTGGACCTTGGCCGGGTCCAGCACGGACGGCAGCGGTCGGATGAGCACGCTCAGCGGCACGTTGTGTACAGCGGCGATACAGCCCGAGTGGATGCTGCCTCCCTGCGCGCCGCCGCTCGCCCCCGACCCCTCGGGCGCCCCCCGGCCCGCGCCGGCTCCTGCCCCGCCCAGCGCCCCGCCAGCCCGCAGCCCCATCCCGCTGTCACCACGCCGCCGCCGGCCGCGTCCCCTGCTTTACCCCGCTGGGCCGTACCATTCCGCGCGACCGCCGGGGGCGCACGCCGCGCGCGTCTCTCTGCCGCCGTGGTGCGTCCCCGGCCGCGGTGTCCGCTGGGGGGCGCCCTGTCGCGCTCCTCTCCTCTCCGCGCTCCCGGAGTGGTCGCGCCCGGCCGCTGACTCAGGGTGAGTGCGCAGGTCGCGGGCGGGCGGGGCGCGCGCCACTCCCGGCGCGGTGACTCAGGCCTGCGGGTCGGCGGGAGGGGCGGTGGGCCTGTGGAGCCAGGATGAGTAGGCAAAACCCGGTGCTGGGGTCGGAGCCCTTGGGCGGAGCTCTGGGAGAACAGTGCCGCTGGCAGTGACTACAGCAACACCTCCAAACTACCCCGCGGGCCGGCAGGATTGTTACTCCCATTTTGCAGACGAGGAAACTGAGGCACAGAGAAGTTTACGCGATTTACCCAGTATCATGGAGCTAGGAAGTGTTTGAGCCTACATTCTAGTCCAGTCTGGCTTGGGAATCCGTTCTAAACGCCACCCTTCCCGACCCCCGCTGCTGGCTACAGCCAGTACTTGTGTCACATCGTGCTGACAATGTGTGGGACTGCCCTCGGGTCACACACTGTCCCGTGACGGCGGCGCAATCCCACTGGGAAGCAGGTTGGGTTCCTAGACTATGCGCCCAAGGCAGGGCAGCTGAACGTGAAAGTCAGGCCCTTTCAGTGCAGATCTCCGGGCCACCGAGCCTCTACAACTGGGCAGGGAGTGGACAGTGGCCGAGTGTGGTTCGGGTTCTCCTCCCTCTCTTTACCCGGTCAGTCAGAGATGGCAGAGGCAGCTGAGGCGGGCTGGGTTCAAGGCCAGGGGCCCACTCTGCCCAGCACCCAGCTGTGAGATGAGGTGAGGCTGGTGTCTCAGAGCTTCCGAAGGGACAGGTAAACCTCGGATCTGTGGCGCTTCCCACCTTGCTGTTGGAAGCCAAACGTTATGATGCTGAGCCATTGAGAATTTGCCCTCACCCTGCCCTTTCTGCGGTTCCCATACATAATCCCTGTGAGCACCTAAATTACACTTTGTTTCAGAAAGAGAGTTGATCCCACATCTCAGGGCTAGTATTACTGAGTTAGCAAATTTCATCAAGAGAGAAGCTGTCCCTTCAGGAACCTCCTAGTGGATACTAGAAGTGAGGCAGGTGGGACCACATTCTGGTGTGGGAAAATGAAATGGGACTTCTTTTATGAAGCTGCATGTAATGAGGCCCTGTCCCTGTTGTCAAACTCTAACTCACTCTGATGATTGCTTGGAGGTAGGTAAATTTAAGGTTAGTAGGCACAGTGGAGTAAAAGCCAGCAAAGATCCAGGTTCTTTCCATCTTTTGTCATCCTCAGGCTTGTGCCTCATGGTGCCAGTGTGCTGCTATTGTGAAGCATCACATCACTATATAACCACACTCAGAAGAAGTTAGGACATCCCTTTATGCCTCTTTTTTTTGTGTGTGTTTTTTTGAGATAGTCTTGCTATGCAATTCAGGCTTGCCTTGAGCTCACTCTGTAGCCCAGGCTGGTCTCGAACTGGCAAAAATCCTCCAGCCTCAGCCTCTTGAGTGCTGGGATTAGAGGCCTGAGCCACTACGCCCAGCTTTATGCTTCTTTTTTTGAAGTGTGAAGAAATCTTTCCTGAGTTTCTCCCAACTCTTCCCCTGCCAGGAACAAGAATTGTATCACGTGCGTGCCTAAACCAATTGCTGGCAAGCGGAGTAGAATGACTGTGGTTGTGACTGGCTTAGCTTGATTGGTGTTACCTTTGGACTCAGGAGGGTTTTCTTCCCTGAAGTGCCTGGGCCTGAGCTCTGAACAGGACTGAGGAGGTCACAGCAACCTAGTTCTCCAGTGAGAGCTTCCCTGCCCCACTGAGGGCTGTGTGATTGTGCGACCGCCCTGTCCCTGATCAGGCTTGGCCAGGCAGCAGTCCCAGTTTAGTCCGTCTCTCCCCAAAGCATTGAGACACAGATGTAAGCTTTGGTTGGGCCGAGGTAAGCTGCCTCTTCTCGGCCTCTGGCCTTTGTTCACATGGAACCAGAAGCCGAAGCAACTCTGGAATCTCCTTGATGGGATGTTCCATTTAGCTCCAGTTCTTCAAAGCCATCTTTAGGCAGGGACTTGGTGGAGGTAGCTACTTGGAAGTTTTAGTTGTTAACTGCTGCAGATGAAATCACTCTAGAATGAGTGGCATCAAACAGCCATTTTACTATGCTTCCAGGCTGTGTGGGTCAGCAAATCAGGTGTCACAGTGGCCCCCAGTGGGGATGCTGGTCTTCTCTCCAGTGTTGGGCTGTCACTTATGGGATAACTTGCTGGCTGGGCTGGACTCATCTGCAGGAGTCTTTCTGCATCACGTGGATGCTCCTACTTGTCACCTCTGTTTGGGCCAACAGCCACAAGAGCTACACATAGTCTCTTCCAGGGCAGGGGCTCCCTGCAGCATGGCCACTGGCTTCTAAGAACAGCTGTCTTGAGAGGATTTAGTAGGAGCTTCCTGGTGTCTTTCTAGCCAGGCTTGGTGGTCATACAGGATCTTTTCTGCAACATCCTATATTTGAGAGCTGTCACAGCCCTCCTAGGCACAAGGAAAGGGGACATACAGTAGGTGCCACTTCCTAATGGAAGGGGCAGCAAGGTTCTGAGTGTGTAGGTAAGTAGATGCTGTTGTGACCATCCTTGGAAGACACACCTACTATAGGAGGTGACTCGAAGTGCTGGAGAAGGGAGACATGCCACCAGGGCCTGATGATGAGAAGGTTAATTTGGTGAGCAGGTTGGGCTCATTCCTGCAGGAGACATTCTGGAGAATCATCATGCATCCCCATTTGTCCCTGTAAGGGACAAGTCCTGTGTGTTCATTCACTCACTGGTTGAGAGGGCCTGAGGATGGGCTGTAGGCTATGGCAGCCAGGAAAGCTGGGTGCCTGGTTCTGGAGCTCGATGGCCAGGTGGCCTGGAATGTGCAGGAAGTGTGACCTTAAAACATCATTGCACTCCGAGGGATCACTTTGGGTCTGAGACCTAAGAAATGATTATGAAGGTGTTATACACTGACATCTTTGTTTCTTTAGTTAACTAAAGGCTACTGGCGAGGCATGTAGGCTACTGTCTAACCACCTGCCTAACACCTCTGTTTTCCTGTTTTCCTCTCCATTTTTCTCACTGCCTCCTGTGGATTCCTAACCTCCTGTTTTCAATCCACTCAGTCAGTGTGTCTTTTTCTTTTGCGTCTTCTTTGCCTGCTGAGGCGTCATCTCCTTGGGTCTTCTGCTGCTTTACATTTCCGCTGCTTCTCTTCATAGGCACAAGATGACTGCCAGTGCCAACCGGGACAGCGTTCTTTGCTCAATCAGGGTAAAGGAAGAGAGTCTGTACTTTGTAGTGATGACATTAAATTTCTTCTCCACTCATCTGATTGGGCTGGCTTGAGTCATAATGAGATGCAAGATGAGTCATGTTCTCCAGGGATGTGGCATGTGATCAGCTGTGTAAGCAGCGGCATTGGAGCTGTCTCTCACTGTGATGACTGTGGTCTAGAGGACTAGCCACTCTCCAAAGGTGCCGTCCTCCAGGCCACCTGGATACGGGTTAAGTGATGGCAGGTACCTGAGTGGCTGTGGTTTGCTGATGAGGGCAGGAGGCAGCAGAGGCCTGGCTGTCAGTGTTCTTTCTCTGGGCCCCTGGGGTTTCTACTGCCACTGTTGTTCTGGGAAGCTTGTGTGAGCTCAGACTTCCCGGCTCAGCCAGCTTGCAGCTGAGCTTCCTGTGTCTCTTGTCACATGTCCCTGCAGAAGCCCTGCCCACACTCAGACTCAGCCAGGGGTGCTGGCATATTCACTTCGGGCACAGGAACTGGTCACTGCATCCCTGTCTCCTTCGGTCAGAAGAGGACAATCTAGAGAGCTGTGCTAGACCACTTGGAGCATTCTGAACCTTCTCAGAGACTGCAATAGCCAGCACATCGCTGTACTGAGGCACCCCCATCCCATTCTTCTGGCCTTTTCATGTGTCCTTTCTGGGGTTACACCCTCCCCAGCACAAGCAATCCACACCCAAGCCTCAGACCAAGGGAGGGAGAGACCAAGGGTGAGACCAAGGGAAATGGGAATCTTATGGTTTGGGTTTAAAATGTTCCCCTGAAAGTCTCATGCACTCATGATGGGGCCTTTAGATGTCAGATCACAAGGGCACTAACCTCCCTAGAGCATCATGCCATTTATAGCTCAATGGCAGTTAGGAGGTGGGCCCTGTTGGAGGAAGGAGGTCACCGGAAGTGTGCCTTCAGGAGTATCCTGTCCTTGGCTCCTTCCTCTCCTTGATTTGTTCTCACCCTCTGTGCTCCGGGCTGCTGTGGGCTGAGCAGCTTTCCTGCATCATGCCCTTCCACCATGATGGCTCTGCCTTGGAGCTAGTGGACCATGGACAGAAGCCCTGAAGCCATAAGCCAGAGCTTTCTTCTTTAACTGTATATGGCAATATTTCATCCCAGGAACGGGAAGCTGACTAACACAGCTGTACTTCTACCCTGGGGGGCTGGGGACACAGCTCAGTGGCACAGGGCCTGCCTGGCAAACGTAAGGACTGAGTTCGAAGCTTGTCTGTCTCTCCACATCTGTACTTCTGGACTGCTCGAGATGTGTTAGCCCAGACTTCTTTACTGGTGCCAGAAAGCCCGAGTGAGTCAGCTTTGTGAAACAGGAATGCTTAGCTACTTCCCTACATTGTGAGCCTCAAAGAAAAGTGGATTTAGAGATTTTTTTTTTTGTTGTGGCCCTCACTCAGCAGAAAAATTATATCTACATGACAGGAACGTAGCTGTCCACAGGGATGAAGTTTGGCTTCCTGGCAAAGAGACCTGACAGGACAGGCCTGATATACTTTCCAGGATCCAGAAAGTCCAGGGCTACTGTGTGGTTACTATGGGTACTGGCCTTTTCAGTCTTTCTGCTTCATTATTTTATTTATTTATTT